TAAACCTGACTGGTTTTCGGACCCCCCCAATAAAGCAAAAATGCACTTTTCAGAGTGGCCTTTTATTGTGGCCAGCCTAAGGCACACCTGTGCAATAATCATGCTGTCTAATCAGCATCTTGATATGCCACACCTGTGAGGTGGGATGGATTATCTCGGCAAGAATGCTCACCATCACAGATTTTTTCAGATTTGTGAACAATATTTGAGAGAAATGGTTATTTTGTGTAAATAGAAAATGTTTTAGATCTTTGAGTTCATCTCATGAAAAATGGGAGCAAAAACAAAAGTGTTGCGTTTATGTTTTTGTTCAGTGTATGATGCTCCATGGCCAACACAAACATATGTACTACCCACCAGTAAAGGAAGGAGGTGAAGATGAACACACTCAGGATGCTGAAGGGCAGGATGTGGAAGATGTACGCCAAGAACATTTGCCATTTACTGTACAGACCATCCTGACTCTCCTGATCACTGATGGCTCGCAACGCGGGGACTGAAAAGAGGATTCAACTGTTAAAGCCCATGAAGCTCTCAAAATGGATCATATTCAATAAAAAATAAAACTTCAAATTTGCTTCTAAGGTGTACGTTGTTATTAGAGTTAATTGAGGAAAGACTACAGGGAAGTCGATTTGAATTGCACTTACTTAACTATCACATTCAGGATTAGAATGTATTCTTAAAGTACTAACATTTGACAGATTATATTGTGAAATCTTGAATTTAAAAACAGAGGCATCATTAAAACAAATAAAACTTAATTTGTTATACCTCATCACGAAGACCAATGGTAATCCAGTTCAAAGGTTACTGAATGTCCTTGACATCTAGTCTTGTTCCAGATCGATCAGACCATATTTCAGATTTGCAAGTTATTCTTACAATCATTAAACCTCAAGGTCAGTGTGATACACCTCCCCCTCATCACTACCTCCGTCTGTTTCAGTTCTTAGGAAGAGCTTTTAATTACCTCTTACTTTAAAGTGATACTTCGGTTCAGCCCAGTGCGTTATCATATCTCTGATCCTCAGTATCAGGCAGAGCACCTAAACTCAGCTGATAAGCGAGCAAGACATTGAACACATAATCACAACAAATACCCAATATCCTTCACTGGTTATTGTCTTTTTTAATATACACCTTAAGTGTGAAATTAATGTTCAGACAGATTTGAATTAAGCCTGTAATTAAGCCTAATCAGTTTCATATTTACCTAACCCCCTTCATTTAACCAACACTACTAATTGGGAAAAACATATTGTTTCTTGGCTGTGAAACTGATCCGTCATATGCGTTCGAATATTCATGTTCAACTTCTTCTGTGTTGTGGGAGCCATGTTTATTAATACGTTACACCGGCCGCTCTCCCCCTTGTGTCCCCCATGTTACGTCACACGCGGGAGGTCACGTGCCGAGGCTTTTTTATGCGGAAGTGGAAAAATGTCTTACAAAAACGACGCCAGATGTCACTGTAGTGTATATTTCTGTATATTTTTTTGAAAATCTAGTGTATTCATCATTTTCCTACACATTTATTCACAGGTGTCTTTAACCTGGAAGTTGCTCTTTAAGTTGCAACTATGACAAAATACATTACAATGAATTTAAAAGATCCTAACAACAGGCCTGTATTGATCTGTCATCTCTGTGTCGATACGGTAATAGTGTGTGAACGTTTATCTGCATTGAGGTTACTACAGGTCACAGCAGCTGCTTTAAATACTAACCATTAACCCTTTCAACACAAAGAGACACAAACACATGTAAAGACAGATAACATACTGTAGATACTGTAGTCTAGTATAGGTCTGTATGTGGAAGGCACTTGGGTTCATTGAGCTTTAAATAGAGGAAAGGTCAACGTCCCTCTGAAGGTAACCCATACATAACAGCCTAACTAACTGTGGAGATTTCTACAGCAAATAACACATTTAACATGTAAATGCAAATACTCCTGAAATTAAAACTTTGCTAATAGACATGTTTTGTTTGCACAGGTTAAGAAACATTTCTGATCAAATCAAACTGCAGTTCTAATCTGTTGCTATAATTAAATCATCTCACTACATGTTTCTACTTTGACCTACGAGACACACTGGTGGGAAATAAAGTCTCTTTGGGTATTTTCAACGAGCAAACGCCAAGCTAGACATAACATGTTTCTGCTGAAGGGATCAAAAATAGTGCAGAGCCCTTTCACCTACCAAGCAAGAGATAAGCGAGCTTACACAGCTGATATAAAGACGTTTGGAACATGCTGTTTGATAAAGATAATACATCTCTTTTAATCACATGATATACCGCTTGCACTTTTGAATTGCCCCGAAGTCATCGTATCTCCCTCATGTTAACATGTATACGGTGATATATGCAGGCACCCTGTCTTTTGCTTTGGATATTCCAGTTAGTCCAACAATGTTAGTTATTTAATATTAAGACTCAGAACTGAGAGGAATGGTGGTGTCATACAGATACAGTTGCTTTAATGTTTCATTTTAGTTTTTGAAAAAGGATCGATTTTCAGGAAACAACCTTGGATTTTCCAGGTCAATGTCTAATACATTGTTTACGTTATCTATCATTGATTACTTTTGTTTGGCTTTCTGCATTCATATTTGATATTCTGGATAGGGTGACATGTAATGGGTAGAGATAGGGGACGACATGCAGCAATATGGGAATACACTATCTGAGAGTTGCTTGATATTTAAAGGGTGCTAACGTTTCGCTTTCAGTTCAAATGTCTAGAAAAATCATAAACGTGGATTAAAGTGAATGTTCTCCTTCTATGTACAGGTGTGTGGTGTTCTTGGGACTCACAGAGAGCTACAGCATTCAGCATGCCGGTGTAAGGTGAAGCTCCAATGCTCTGATAGATGATGCCGATGCGGTCCTGCACTGCTCCCTTACTGACGTCCATGTCTAGATGCATCACGAAGAAGGCCACGAAGAGACCGTAGATCAGGTTCTGGGACAGACGCATCAGGACCCCCATCCTGTCTCTGGACAGGTTTCTCAGTGTCCGCCTGCACGCAGAACACACATAGAGATACATGTAAACACACATACTGTACCTGTTGGCAGATGCACAATCATACGGCAACAGACAAAACACAAGGCGATGAGACACAGGTGGCAAACAGGAACAAGTTATGAAGACAGAAGGAACTACCTTTAACTTGCAACACGATAAACAGAAATGATTAACAGGAAATGCTGGTTTTTGTACAAGAATGATAAAGATGCAAGAGTGTACTTAGGAATCTAAATCTAAATGTCTGTGGTAGGCAGTAATCAGCTGTTTAGTTTTGGTTATATCTACTGTAGGGGCTGAGGCTCTGACCTGAACAGAACTGCCAGTTTGGCTGCACCGCTGGGGGACTCTTTGCTCTTGTAGGGGATGGCTGACTTGTCCACCCGCTGCAGGCTCTGCTCCAGTTTTCCCAGCATGCACTGGTAGATGGGAGACCTCTGATAGGACGAGGTGATCTCATGCATGCGACTGAAAGTGGCTGCTTCCCTCTCACTGTTGCGTGTGTCCACTGAGGTGAAGTCAACTGTTTGAAATGACACACATATGAATATTTTAATGTTCATGCTACACATACACTTGTTTTTTTTATATGCAAAAGGTGTACATGTTTTTGTATTAGTAACAAATGTAATAGCATGTGGTACCATAGATGTCAAAAGGGTTGCAGTACTCTGGGCACTCATATCCACACTGGCTGAAGAAGTCCACCATCTCCTCTGGCTGCCCACAGAACACCAGCTCCCCTCGACTCATTATAGCTATCCTGCTGAACACCTGTGACACACACACACACACACACACACACACACACACACACACACACACACACACACACACACACACACACACACACACACACACACACACACAGTTGGGTCTCTGCTCATTCCCTTCCTTGTGCGATAACCCGTTCTTTCATTACTCTTCTCCATCTCTCCCTCTGTCCTTTCCTTATTCCTCTCTTACTCAGATCCCTTTGTGCTTAAGACTCCTTCTCGAAGTCTCTGGGGAGAGAGATATCTTCTGCTGAATTTCTTCTGTTTCAGACATATAGCACAATCCTATTGCTTTCATAAGTATCTCCAGCAGCATTTGCATAAAGTATAATTTGTTATACAGGTCTAATACTGGCCACATTTTCTGGATGGCATATCAGGAGAAAGAGACCATCTCTGAACGACTGTCTTTGAAGTATGGGCTACACTGAGTGTTGAGTTATTTCCAGTAATTTACACAAACATTTTACATCATTTGTTATTCTAAGTACTCAGATAGGAAGGTATTTATGCTGCTGAAACTTCTGTGAGTGAAAGTTTAAGAAAAGTAGAAGCATTGCATAATTTAGTCATGTTTCTGGGTGTATGTTTCTTCTTAAGGGGGAATTATATGTGTTTTATGGTTTTTAATGTTTTTTAAGATGGCCAGGTTAAGCAAATCACACTCTATAAATATATCATGTGCAGCTTAGTTGTTTAAGAGAGAGGTACGTATATTTGTAGAATGATATTTGCTGACACTTCAGGTTCAACAGTGGTCTAGAGCTCTAGTGTTAATGCAGTAACTTACTAATCTCCTTACCATGCTGAATATTAGGGACATCTTTCTGATATTCTGTCGCAGCCCCTTTTGTATAATAATCCCCAAACAATGTGTCTCAACCCTTAAAATAAATCCCCTCTAACGCTTTAGTTTATCTACTTCACATCTCCTCATTTATTTCAGTAAAGCTTTAAGACTCTAAGTGATAGTAGCTTTCACCTTCGCAGCTAATGGGCCCTTTGGAAGTTCCTGATTCTCAGATAACTCGTATATTTCCCAGCTGCAGAGATACTCACTGGGGTCCTGAAGAAGCTGGCTGGCGATGGAGACCCTCCTCCTCTCGCCCCCAGAGATCCCTGGGAAAACCCGGCCTCCGATGACACTGTGGGACACGTGACTCAGACTCAGCTCGGCCATCACCGCCGACACCTGCACAGACCAGAGGTCAAAGGTCAGGTGACAAGGGCCTGGATCAGGGGTGTCCAAACTACGGCCTGGGGGCCAAATGGGGGCCGCGGGACATTTTGAATCGGCCCTCAGCAAATTCAAAAAGTATAAAGGAATACGGCCCACAAATGAAACTTGAGCTTTTCTTGTATTGTACTTATTAAATATATCTCTAAACATACATTATACCGTAGTGTTCATGTGTTTATAAGCCCAATTTACAATCAATTCAGTCAATTACATTTGAAAATATGTTCTAACAAATCTAAGTTGATAAGAAAAAAGCCCAATAACTTCTATACATAACAAACTTGAAATATACCCTTCCTATTCCCTCTTCTGATAATCAATCTGGGGCTCCTGTGGTAAGGGTTGAGCTGCTTACAAGTGAAATGAAACTCTCTGGAGAGCTGTGATGTAGGCTGTTTATTAGATGCTAGCTCTAATTAGTATGAATACTTTCTGCTTATTACTTCCCTATGAAATGGTTCTGCGTGAAGGACAGGGTCATAAGGAAATATGGAATATAGGAAATAAGAGGAAGTAATTCCTTTTCATTTCTAAGTTAAAAAATGATGAGCAGAATATCAGCATTATACCGGCTGCATCAGTGAAAGTGTTCATGACTAGCTGAAGCAAAGACACATTGGTACAATGCACAGTAAATCTTTAGGGGTTGAAATGAATATCTAACTCATCTGACTGGAAGAAATGTTAACATCTTTATATACTCAAATAATCCTGAGGTGTACAAACGTAACTGTCTTTTACCGTAACACTGGCCTCAGCCGTAAATGTCTTGTATAGCCGACTATACGTCAGAATATCACAGTGCAGTTAGACAATGCCATGATAAATAACAAGACTAAATGAACATCTTTACATTTGGGTATCATGCAGTTATTCGGCTAAAAACCCTGCCATTTGCTGACATCCTGAATAACAAATGGGGAAGGATTCTTGAAATAAAACTTGTCTCCTTTTTGTATTTGTTCTAGCTTGCTGAAATGCCAAGTTCCAGCTGAGGAAACTGATGGAGTGCAGAAGAGGCTCTTGAAAGTCACCTTCTTCTTGATGGCTCTGGACGAGAGTTTCCGTAGGGCCAGCTGAGCGGTGTAGGTCAGAGTCTCCTCCACCGTCAGATAACTCAACAAGTTATCACTCTGGAGAAGGAAGAGGGAAGAGAGAGAGTAAAAAAGAAAGTAGGTGATGCAGTCTACCGATTTCATGAATGTTTCTTACTTATGGAGGATAAGTAATTATGTCCACCATGAAGAACATATCTGTCTTCCTCTTGTGTGTACTCTAGTATTCAAACTACAATGTATCTTGAAACATATTGAGGGGAAATGGCATAACATGTCCTTTAAACGTCCTGCAGCACACTCATTAAAGTTTAGATTTCAGAGTATGTGTCATCTTTACATTCATATAGGACACATACAGCGGTATACTTGATATATACTATTACATTACATTACATGTCATTTGTTAGATACATTCAGTACTGTGGACAATCCCCACAGGAGCAATTTGGGGTGAAGTGTCTTGCCCAGGGACACAACGACATGCTGACTGCAGTGGGACTCAAACTTGTTACCCCCTGATTCCAAGTCCAGCACTCTATCCACTGAGCCACAGCCGCCCGTTCATATGTTCATATATTCCAACTGGAACACACACACACACACACACACACACACACACACACACACACACACACACACACACACACACACACACACTCGCGCGCACACACACATATACTGTACACACACACACACACACACACTCGCGCGCACACACACATATACTGTACACACATTGCTTGAACCTGCTGCCTGCCTCAATTAACACGTGGCGCCTCCCAATCCCACTCCTCCTCACTCTCTCATCTGAATGACTTTAATATCAGGAGCTCATATCACCTCCTCATCTACAGCTTAGCAGGGGAAGTTAATGACGAGGCTTAGAGAGCAGAGGGGGGGGGGGGGGTGCTATCAGCCAGAAGAGGGAGATGATTTGAAAGGAAGCAAGGCCAGTTTTAAGACTGTTTTTAATTCAGGCTTTGGATACACTTGAGCACCTCTCATTGAGAGATTAAGTGTATGAGGAGGCCAGCGAGGGCCTTCAGTTAATTTCATCCAGAGGCCAGGGCAACCTTTCCAGGAGTTTTTACCAAATCAGACACGTTCATTGACTTTGTGGCAGTTAGTAACAAGCAACTTTAACACAAGCAAACTTTCTGCATGCAGCCGCTCACATTTAATACTTTTGGACCAGGGCTCTTTAACGTTTCTCAGGCCAAAGACCCCTTAGCTAAAGAGCAATGGAGCAGGGAGCCCCTATTCCATATGAATAAACTGCATATTAAACAAAAATACCATGTAGGGTGATCTAAAGTGCCATGGATAAACAAACCTTTTCATGGTGCATGCAATACGAAGCAGACTATCATCAATGTTGTGTTGGTTATTATTTTTAATTAGTGTGTCAGTTACAATTAGTCAGTTACTCTGACGACCCCCTTTCAACCCAATTATTTATCAAAAGTTTAACCTGAAAAAAGCAAAATGTGCATGTGATTTAGTGCTTTTTCAATTTGTATTTATTTATTTTATTCAGTCTTGTTAGGCCGCACTGAAGGCCCAGTTTGAACCATCTAGAAAAATATAATGAATTACTGTGGTCAGATATAACTGATAATAACTGATAGTCTCTGTTTCTACTCGAGGTCTGCGTTACCTGCAGCACATAAGAGAAGCAGTCCTGATACTCCTCTCTCTTCAGGTTCATGCCGTTAACGAAGACGTCCCCCGTCAGCGTGCCACAGTTTCCAATCCTCCCTGAGACCGCATCCAGCAGTGTGGTCTTTCCTGAGCCTGTACAGGACAATATGCACAAACACATACACATGGATACATAGGAACATATAGTCTTCAAAGACAGGGTCACATTTAATAACATTTTGGAAGGGGGAACAGAAGGAACACATGAATGCATGTTAGTTGCATCGGGGCATTTCCCCAATCGCACAATCTGGTTTTAATTAATATAACCTGTAGCCAAAATAGATAGCTGCCATCAAATTGCCTGTTAAACCTCCTTTAGCATAACATCATTAATTATTTAGATGAAGTCCATGTATAATACCTAAATAACTCAAATCCATTCCCTTTAAAAATGATATTACTGTATGTTTAAAAAAAGAAAATTGTTGATTATTTGTTGAGTGTTAGCTCTGCTGTTTGGACAATGTTCCTTTAGGTGCGAACCTGAATTTCCCAGAATGCCCATGATCTGCCCGCTCTCTACGTGAAAGGAGACGTCATTGAGGATCTGACGAGTCCATCGCTTCCTGTAGGAGGGCAAGTCCCACCATGGACCCAAACGCTCACTGGAACACATGCACACACACACACACACACACACACACACACACACACACACACACACACACACACTTTTATAATTCCCAGAACAAAGTAAACATCCTGATTTTAATTACAATTATTAAAGAATATAATAATTTATCAACAAGCTTATACATTATATTTATTGTCTGCTGTTTCATTAGAAAATGTGAGTAAATATAGATATTTTTGACCAAAACCTGTACGCACTATAATGTAAAGTAATCTGTATGTCACGTTATTGATCCTCAGAGTGTGTTTGTGTCTCTCAGTCATGCTCTTGTTACCTGACAGTGTAGGAGACCTTGCTGACACTGAGGCAGCAGGGGGGCTCTGACGGCTCCTCTCCCCTCCACACGTCCCTCTCCCCCTCCGACACCGACTTGAAGGACTCTCTCCCTTTGGTCCCGCTCTCCGGCTCCATTGAATACAATGTGTTCATGTCTCCGGCCATTCTGCCACAACCGTAAGTGGAGTCAGCCTCAGATCGGTTTGTACATATCCACAGGCTCTAAACTTGAGGTTTCTCACAGACTTTGTTTCTCTGCACTCAGTCCCTGTGCGGATCAGCAGTGCGAGTCTCTGCGGGACCATAAACACACAGCCTTATCTCTGAGAACTTTGATCTGGAGTTGTATAAAGCAGACCAAAAAAAACACATGCCGAGTGGACTGGCTGGCTCAATGTGTCACTGTGGCCAGAATAGCTATGTGACGGGACAGAGCAGAGGAACAACTCTGTGACATGAGCTTGGACCTTTTTTTTAGGAAAGGGCCTGTGAGCTGAGACCAGAGGAGGTCTTCAGCTGGACTGGAGTCGAATCGTCTGACAGAGAGGAGAAGAAGAACAGAGGAGAAACAAAGGAAGAAACCCAAAGAGAGGAAAAGAGACAAATTGAACTGAAGAAGTAATAGGGGGGTGTTGACCCCTCCACCCTACAAGTCAACTTGCATCATCATGGACGCAGACATCGGCCCAAATCATGCAAACAGCTCCTCGCAGGTCAGTCATCGTAACAACGTATTGATTTTAGGTTCCTCTGATTAAATACTTTGGTTACTTCAAGTCATATCTAAACCTTCTTTCCACTATCACAAAACACAGCCACTGTCTTTGCTGCGTAGCCGCTGATTTTATTAATCAAACCTAAAGTGGCTGAAGCCGTTTTCAATGTGGGTTCAACAGAGTCCAGATTTATTTATAATCCCCTCAACAAATTACTCCAATTTGGAAAAATGTTAAGTGGTCATTTAGTTGATATGGACCTACTCATATTTCTGGTTAAAAAGTTGGACACCAAAGTAATTAATATTCTGTCTATGAATTACACCATATTTTAATATATGTCAATGTACCTCTGTCCATACTGTAAATATATATATTAATGTTTTTAAGTTTACAAATTGAATGTGCAGCTTTACATATTCTGGTTCTAGTTTTTCCCACAGTGCAATGCTGCAAAAGTGTTGCTAACAGCTAACCTGTGTGTTTATCAGCTATTTGTCTAAACAATAAGTGGCTGCCTTGTGTAAAACCATTCTGTATTAGACCAGGACAGCACAGCACAAAACATCATTCAGTCTCTTTTATTAATGATGTCTGAATTACATTAAAACAAATCTGTAGTTTAATGTTCTAACTGAAGAGGTCGGACAACTTAGTGTGGGGATTTCTTTTATTGGGGACATTTAAAGGTTACATTTGGCAGGTTTTCCAAAGGACTCTGTACCAACAAAGATCACACACACACACACACACACACACACACACACACACACACACACACACACACACACACACACACACACACACACACACACACACACACACACACACACACACACACACACACACACACACACACACACACACACACACACACACATACACAGAGAAAGATGTGCACACACACTTGATCATTATTGTTCGTAGAAGGGATGCATTTACTCACATACTGTGGACAGACGAAATGTCTAATTCAAGTACATGTACATGCATCCTTAAGAATGATTTTTTACAGATGACACACTGAGAGGTAAATGTCCGAGCCGTGTTAGTGACANAAATATAAACGCAACACTTTTGTTTTTGCTCCCATTTTTCATGAGATGAACTCAAAGATCTAAAACATTTTCTATTTACACAAAATAACCATTTCTCTCTGAGAGAAATGGTTATTTTGTGTAAATAGAAAATGTTTTAGATCTTTGAGTTCATCTCATGAAAAATGGGAGCAAAAACAAAAGTGTTGCGTTTATATTTTTGTTCAGTGTACATTGTGTGATTTAGTTTAAAGGATTCTACTTGCACATTAAACTTTCCTCAAGGCTTTAAAGGATCTACCTTTTGTATTTAAACATTCCCGGCCTAAACCCGATCTCTCCCCGGACTAACTCTTCTTTTCTCCCTCCTACTATGTTTGTCCCCTCTCCTTTCAGGACGGTGGGGATGCACCCTGACACCTTGCGCTTCCTGTGTTATTCTGCTGTAGTCCTGGTGCCACATATTATAGGTGAGCTGATAAGAAGAACAACTATCATTCTTTAACAGCTCCCAAGGCAGCACACATTTAGTCCTATTCTTTTTGTAAAGTAAAGGATTACAAAATCACGCTAGAATCTGCTTATCTCCACGATCCTTATCCAAACATCGTAAAACTGTCTTCATGTTGTTGTTGTTTACATGTTCTGTGCCCACAGGAGTACAGTGTCAAACCTATAAGTATGTCAGAGGTTGTTTAATATCATATTTCGCCTGTTTATGACTTTTAGTTGTATATATTAATTACGTTTTTGTTTTATCTTCAGGTGAGCTTCTGACTGTGGTGCTATTAGGAGTGGTCCAAAACCCTAACATGGTCAACTCTGGAGTGGCTCTGCTCAATATTGCAGGGATCATGGTGGGATCTGGCTTCCTAAGGTAAAACATTAGAATACACACTGACCTAAAGCAGTTCATATTTTAGGCTTTTAAGAAGGGCTTTTTTCCAGGTTTTCATTGTATAGGATGGTATGATAGATGCCACTGCCAACTTCCACATGCTACGGGTAACCCACCTCCCTCTCCTCTGCCTCCAACAGGAGCACCCTCCAGATGCCGGTGGTCTTCCAGTGGCTCAGCTACCTGACCTTCCAGAAGTACAGCTGTGAGCTGCTGATAGTCACTGAGTTCTACGGACTCGACTTCACATGCAGTAAGTTGTTTCACCATGGCACCGTCCTGTGTTCACCTACGCTGAGAATGAAACTAGAAAAATGCACAGTAGCTATTTACAAGATGTGCTTACAGCTCACAGACATTATGTGTCAATGCTGTTTTAGAACTGTTTCTATCTTTAAAACCTGACATATTGTTAACTTTCTATCTGGTGTGTTGTTGCAGATGCTTCCAAACCGTTGCTGCCTGGCGCCTGTATGATCACGCAGGGCAGTCAGATCATTGATGAGGGCTACCCTGGCGCTCTGTCCAGATACACACTAGACTTTGTTCTCCTCTACTCCTTCCTCCCCGCTCTCCTGCTGCTGGGCGTCATCAGCTTCAAGATCAGAGACAAGCTCATCCGTCATTAAAACCACAGACAAACTTTGGAGGGAGAATTTTCGGTTTAAACATGAAGATAAACTGAGTTTGCTTTTGAAGATGTAAAACAGATTAAGAAAACAGATTTACATTATGATGTAGTCCAAACAGATGACGAGTACTGAAGTGTATCATCTGTGTTTGCTTCCTTTTCACCAACAATCAATCCAGGCATGTTCCTTTGTAAGCACTTACCTGAGAGTTTTATAGAATATAGTATTAAATATGTCGGAGCAATGACGCAAGTACAAAGAACAAATCCCATTGCAGTGTGCGCAGTACAACAGGACGTATCCGTGTAACCTGGGATGCAGCTATTGACTTTAAAGGTGGGGTAGGTCATTTTGGAGAAACCAGCTCGAGTGCGCTAGAATTTGAAAATACACAACCGGAGAAAATCTGCCACTTCCTTACAGAGCCCCTCCTCCAACACACACGAACGCGCACATGACCAATGAGGGCACGAGATAAGTTTGTGCACAGATGGAAGGCTGACAGGCAGGTAGGCCATCCAGTTACTTTAGCCGGACCGGCTCAGATGATTGGTCGTGCTTTTTACAGCGCCACGGCTTCCACAGATGACATTTTTTTATGTATTTTTTGTCAAAGCATTTAATATATTCATTGCTATCGGGATGTTAAGAGAATTCCATGGAATATAACAAAAAGTGTTTCCGAATTAAATGACATACCCCACCTTTAAGCCAATTGATATGACTTTAAGCTAAATAACTGAGAGGTCCCTGGAATAAATATTACTATTAATCCATGCTGCTTCAACTCTGATTGGGCTCAAACAACAACTGAGACAGACCGAACGATTCAACCTAAGCTTGTGAAAAGTTTAAATAGGTACTTTTTGACTGTAACAAATATCTGCAAATATTTAAAAATCATTATTTTTTATATAAAAGTTTATACAGAATAGAGATTTATTTAACTACAAATCACCAGTTTGATTCATGTTCTAAGCACTATATTGAATATTGAGTGCATTACTTTTTTTAATATTGTGATTGTAATGTATAATGAATAAGAAGTGATGTTTGTTTAAATGATGTCAAATTGATATTTTTTGAACATATTTTATTATTAGTATACAAGTAGTTTTGTTAGGTTTGAAAAAACATAATGACACAAAAGGGAATAAATAAGTATACACTGTATTTACATGAATATGTGGTGTGTGTTTGTGTGAATATAAGTCAGATGATCTCATGTTTCCAGCTCCAGTCCTTTCCATGATTTAGCTGCTTCCCTCTTATACTGCTCCAACTCCTGAAAACAGATGTCGACAGAGAGAGAGGAGCTTATTAAAACATCATATTTTACTACAGCAATGAAGTACACTTAAAAAAAAATGGCAGGTAGTTGCACAAACATGCACTATAATACAGAAATACCTGGAAAAGAATGAAGATAAAGGTTTTAATGTATTGTTAGTAGATATAGGGCAGAGCAGGTCATATTATGTTTTAAACACTTGTGAGGCCTACAGAGGAACACTGCATTATTGAACTTACATTAAACACAAATGTTAAGGGCTTCTTTCAATGTTGGGCCTGTTAGTAGACTTATTATATATAATAGAATATTTTTACTTTGTCTGCATTTTTTCTTTAATATTTGATGTATCCATATACGGTATAAGGTAGTAATGATGATACAAATCTGCCAATGGTAATGCCAATGTGATAATTAGCCAGCAATTTGACTGCATGCTTGTTTTTTAATTCCAGATGGGAAGCAGTAGTTTAGCTAATTGTTGTTGAATCATGTTGTGGATATTTGAAAGACGGCAGGGATTTAACTTTGTTTAGCTTTGTGACACAAATGTAATGATAACATACAGGACTGTCTCAGAAAATTAGAATATTGTGATAAAGTTCTTTATTTTCTGTAATGCAATTAAAAAAACAAAAATGTCATACATTCTGGATTCATTACAAATCAACTGAAATATTGCAAGCCTTTTATTATTTTAATATTGCTGATTATGGCATACAGCTTAAGAAAACTCAAAAATCCTATCTCAAAAAATTAGAATAGTTCCTCAGACCAAGTAAAAAAAAAAGATTTATAACAGCAAAACAAATCAAACATTTGAAAATGTCCATTAATGCACTCAGTACTTGGTTGGGAANGATTGCCCTTCCTCCTTATCTTCCAACCATTTGGACGCAGACTTGCATTTCCCCATAACGATGTTGTTTAACAACCGGCGTAAAGGGACCTTCGCGCGCTATCAAGCAGTGAGCGCGCGATGTCCTGTTCAGATGACGTCAAACTTCATTTTCGCTAAATTGATTTATCAACTTTTAATAATTTTTAAGACCCCGCGCCCCCTGTGATAACATATAAGAGGTGCGATCTGGGTCTAGCAGG